GGCCAGGGGCAGACTCTTCTCATCCTCACATTCACTGTGGCCTGAATGGGGCCAGGGGACACACCAGCAGTGTGTGTTTGACAGACAGGAGTGTGCACTGCATGAGCGTGTAAGGAACATGTGGAGGAGAGAATGGGTGGGTGTGGGTTTATAAGCGGGTGTGAGTGGGGGTGTGTGAGTGGGGGTGAGCGGTGCACGTGTGTGTGGTGAGATCCAGGTTGGTGCAGAGGGCAGTGTATGCGGGTGTGTGCAGGTGTGTGGGGTGCCATGATGTGTTGCCAGGAGTGTGAGGGGGCAGGGGTGAGCGAGTCAAGATGAGTGTGCCCATGCGTGTGGCTGGGGTATGAGTGTGAGTGTGAACTGAGAAGGTGGGAACGCAGGGGGGGGTGCTGCGGGTGTGTCGGGCTGGGGGACCCAGGACTCGGAGTCTGGGCGCCCCCTGGAGAGGGGCGAGGCCCAGTGTATGGGGACAGCGCCTCCCGGGAGGCCCTGGACACCGCGCTGACCACGGGCCAGGCTGGGCTGGGTACAGGACGGAGCCCTTTCCGGGGTGCGGGGAGCCCCCCACAGACGACCGCGGGCCTCCCTGGACTGCGCTCAGCCCCTCCAGGCACCGGCCACAGCCTCCTGCCCCTGCAGGGCGGGCGCGGACACTGCCATCTGTCGGCGAGCGGAGGGTGGGAGCGAGGGCCGAGCAGTCTCCCGGGGCCACCGACCTCCGCCCTGCTCCGGCGGCAGCCGCGTGGGCGCCCCCTGCAGCAGGCGGGGACCTCCCGAGGCGATGTCCTGCAGGCATCCAAGCGGTGAGCTAGGGACACACACACTCACACACACACTCACACTCACACACACTCACACTCACCTCGCTCAAACAGGAAAGCCGGGAAATCCAGAAGGACGCTGCTGGCCTTCAATTCGGCATCCGTGTCACTTCGTGTCACCCAGAAACTATATTGCACCCCACCCGCGGCAGAGCTCTGGTTCTGCGTCAGGCTCAGGTGTATTTTTGGTGCTTCGAGCCCTGGCCTCGCTGGCGTCCAGTGATGCAGCCATCTCAGGAAGATACCTGCAGATCCCTGAGCACATGCGTGCTCACACAGATGCGCACACACACGCACACTCGCCTACTCACACACACATACATGCACACCTGTGCCCCCCAATGCTTTGCTCGCAACAGTGAAGACAAATGGAACTGACCAGCTGTCCTGGGGAGAAGGAAGCTGCTGGCACCTAAGGACACAGTGCAGCATAAAAAGACGGAGGCCAGGCCTGGATCTGATGATAGGCAAAGCTTTGCGGGATGTGAGAAGTGAAGGAGCAGAGCCAGAGCCCGTGCAGCAGGAGCGCCTGGGAGAGCCGCGGTTGTAGGCACACTACTGGGGGGACTCCCGGTGACAGGACTTTGGACCCAGCAGGAGTGGAGAGGGTGGGTGGGGCACCAAGAAAGATTTCTTTTTCAATCAAAGTCTTCCATACAATTTCATATGCGCTCTTATAACATGAACACGTAATATCCATGTATTATTTATTTGTAAAGTTTAGAATTTTATTCCTCAAACAACATAAAAGCCAATATGTATAAATCTTTGTTCTAATGCTGCCTGTATAACCCACAGACATCAGTGTGTGTGTGAGTGTGAGTGTGTGTGTGTGTGACTAAGGGCCTTCCACTGCTGGTCAGGATTGAGTGAGCAAGGATAAACTTTACCCTCCTGTATGACACAACTCCAAAAATGTTCCATGTACGTAAAACAATGACTTGTGAGGTTCTGGACATGGAGCCACAAGGGAAAGTGACCTGGGAGGAGAGTCCTGTGACTGCCCAGTGGACGGCCTGGAGAAGGCGTCCAGGCTGAGGCACGGGAAGAGCCAGCAGCATCCACTGTCCTTCTTGAGCTCAGGAGACGGAGCTGGGAAGGTGGAGCTTCCGCATGGCCAGAGTGTGCACGGAGCATGCGCATGGAGCTCTGCCCAGGGTGCCCTCAGGCTTCGGCTGAGCACTGAGCAGAGCACAGGAGTGAGCAAACACTCACCTGAAAGGACTCCTGGTGCCATCCCCAGAGCTCACACGGGCTGCAGGTGGTGCCTGATCCCACAGTCGTCTGCATCTACCGCAGTAGAAAACCTCAGTTTATTTTGCATCAAGTCAAATACCTAGATGGATTTTGCCTCAATATTAGGGCCAAATTAGCTCTAGTCTTATGCCACTCTGATCCCATATAACACAGCTTAAAAGTCAGTCCCAAGACAGGTGCCGTGGGACTTGCCTGTCATCTCAGCAGCATGGGAGGCTGACACAGGAGGATCACTGAGTTCAGAGCCAGCCTCAGCAACAGTGAGGCACTAAGCAGCTCAGTGAGACCCCGTCTCTAAATAAAATACAAAATAGGGCTGGGGATGTGGCTCAGTGGTCAAGAGTCCCTGAATTCAATCCCTACCCCCAACCCCCTCAGAACTTAGTTCCAAAAAGTTTTTTGTTTTTTTTTTTTTAATAAAGTTTTGGGGCTGGGGCTGGGGCTCAGTGGCAGAGTGTTTGCTTCCCTTGTGTGAGGCACTGGGTTCGATCCTCAGCACCATAAAAATAAATAAAACAAAGATATTGTGTCCATCTACAACTTCAAAAAATATTATTTTAAATAATACAGTTTCTAAGTAAATTATCTGAGTCTTAGAAAATGATCAAAATATTTGTTAAAGTACAAAATTTTTCAGTACTCAAAAAGGTCAAATTCACAATGTCTGGCGTCCAATAAAAAAAAATTCAGCAAGTATGCAGAGAAGCAGGAAAAAATAACCCATAATGAGGGCTCAATCGAAACCAAAGCAGAATAACACCGATAGTGGAAATAGTAGGCAAGGGCACTTTAAAACTTGTCATAACTCAAGAAGTTAGAGGAAAGAGTGACACACTAAGGCAAGACAAGGAGGATATTTTTGCTGGGTCCTAAGGAAGTTCTCCTAAACTTAAATTTTGTTTCCACTGCCAAATTTCCTTATCATAGATAGGGGAACATCTCCACCTACTGGCCAAATTGGGGAACTTCCGGCACCTTCTGCAAGTCTCTAATGACTAGTTGACCACTTGCACCTGTTTAAAATGCCCCTGTCCTGCTGAATGGGCAGCTATTATTTATTTAAACCAAGCTGACCTCGGTTCTAGTCTTGTTCCTTCCAATAATCTACTGTGTGATTGGCACAACTTTCTTCGCCTTGGCCTCAGTTTCTGGTCTCTACCTTTCTAACCTAGAACCCTAAATTTATTTAGACACAACGTGTGTTAGGTCTGCACTCTGGGGATGCTGTGCAGGTGTTAATGAACCCCTGGAAACCACCTGAAACAACTGCTGCTGTTATCCCTGTTTTGCAGCGGAGCAGAATGAGAGCAAGGCGAAGTAGCTTGCCCCACCCTCTCAGCTCATGAGAAGTGAGGTCAAATTTGCCCACCTTTGTGTCTCGGTAAACCCCTGTGTAGCCTACCCTATTCTGTGGTCCCGTTGCTGCCCAGACCCCACTTCCTGTCTGAGGTGTGCAGGGCGGGGCACAGGCGTGTGTATTCTGAGAACTCCCCGGGTGATGGTAATGAGCAGCTGGGCTGAGACAGTGTACACAGGTGTTCTAAAAGTGCACACTGAAGCTTTAATAATTTCAGAAGTATAAATGTATTTAACAATTAAGAGTTTGCTTTTTGAGTGCTTTTAGGTGTGTGGAAAAGCTGAGCCCCTTCCATTTCCCCATCACTGGCTCATTTGCCCCCCTGGGTGAACCACGTGGGCACACTCTTACCTACTGATGTGCATGGTTTACATTGGGGGCTGCTCTGGGTGTTGTAGTCTGTGGGAGCTGACAAATGTAGAAGACATGTGTCCCCCACAGGGTCGAGCACAGTGATTTCACTGTCCTAAAAATCCCCGGGGCTCCCCCACTCACCCCCACCCCACCCCGACTCCTAGCAACCACATTTTACTCTCCATCATTTTCTAACTTATTTAAATCATTTTTCAATTTAAGTCCTTCACATGTCGTTTGTACACTTAGAACAATGAAGACACATCTGTTGTTTCAGTCTTACTCACCATCTTACAGTGACGGGGAGATGAGGCTGCACACCTGGGAAAGTTTTCAGGAAAGAGGTTTCCTTAAGTGGATGTTCCAGAGGGGCTCATCCCAGAACCCTGAGTCTGGAAACTCTTTCAGATGTGTGCTCAGTGGGTGGGCGAACGACAGTGGGTGAGCACAGAACAGTGACTCTTTGTCCCATATTTTAGGTCTGACAGAGGTTTCATGAGTTTTATGGAAAAAGAGACCTGACTTTTGCACAGCAAACTCCCCTGAGACAGTCTACCATGACTTTTGTCTGCAAATCTGGCATTTACCAAAAAAGAAACAAACTTCAAATCACAATGCTCTCTGCAGAATCCTGCTGACGTTCTTTGTAGAGATCTTGCTGACAAGAAGTTCAACTATGGTTCCTGGAGAAGCTTGATTATGGTAAAGGTCTTTGGGGGACTACTTCAAAACCAAAGAGACTGAAATTCATAAAATAATTTAGCGTTTCAAATTCATGAACATAAGTAAGTGTAAAGGAAATTTGCATGAAATTCCAGTGCTGGTTTTTGTTTTGTTCCTAGCAGTCATACTTTGGAAGTTGTCAGGATAGAAAAGTATGCCCAGGCTTTTGGAACACACTGTATTCAGGAAAAGGGAAAGCAGTCGATTGCACAGGCCAGGAACGGCGTCCATGAGGAGAGGCTGCTGAGACCTGAGTCATGGAGGACTGGACAATGCTGGATGAGCAACACCCGCCCGGGTTGGACACTCCTGGCAAACAGGCCCCCATGAGCAACAGAGGAAGGACTAGAGGGCCTGGGAAGGCCGGCTGTCCAGCAGGCAGGGCTTAGTGTTCACCCGGCCTGTGCAAGACATGAAGCTGGAATGACTCATGAAGACCACTGAAGGTCATGATGGAAAGCAGACTCTTTCCTGGGGCCACAGGAGCCATGGAAAGTTAGTGGGCAAGAGAATGGGGCTGGTTTGTGGGGGACAGGATGGAAGATGGGTGGGAGATTCACATGCCACCCGTATCTGGGGCTCCTCTGACCCGGCTTGTGAAACTGCACTTCCTGTGCCTCTGGGGCGTGCTCGTGGGGCTGACTCTGGCTGATACACCGTGAGCGGGCGTCTAGGCACTGTTTCTGGGTGGCGCGTGGAAAACCAGTCAGACCTTCCAGACAACTCCCTGCTCAAGGGAGCCACATGAGCAAGCGCTGAAACCAGAAGATCCATGAGAAGTAAGGAGCAATTTGGTTTAAACCACTCATGTCACGTTGACTTGTTGTCAAATAGTTGGTGGCTGATACAGGGGAAATGGAGAAATTAAGGCCAATGGATACTCAGGTCTGTGGCTTGAGCTCTTAGCGCAGGGAGTGCCATTTGCGCAGATAAGAAACCAGAAGCAGGAACTGACTGAGCAGTTGAGGACGCTGGATATGCTTGTGGGAAAATCATAACAAAACCCAACAGTGTGGGTCAGGTCAGGACAGTCGGGTCTGAACTGAGGACAAGCAGAGGCGGGAGGTAGAGACGAGGAAGGATCACATTGGACGACAGATGATGTGGTGGACATGCAAGAGTGACTAGAAACCACCCACAGCAGGGCCTCGGGGCATTGCTTTGAGTGGCCCTTGAACTTGAGTAAATATGATCACTCTCCAGTGAGAGTCACTCGAGGATCCCTGGGCCAGCCCTTCTCACTTGCGAGGTGGGGGATTCTGTTTACCTCGCTTCTGCCCTTCTGCTCCCATCAACAAGGGTGGAAAATTCCATCCCAAGTGGGACAGGGGTTTGGCTGGGGAGAGGGGAGACCTAGAGCGAGGCTGGGGTGCATTTCCTCTTGTACTTTTCGGGGTGGAATACTCAACCATTTTTCCAGCCTGGGGGGGGAGGGGGGTGGAGGAGTGAGGAGCAAGGGACAGGCTGAAAAACCTCAGGCGTTTCTTCCCTGTCACTGTGCACAGTCCTACCGAGTGGGAGGGCCCCTGCCATGGAAGCACAAAGAGAGATGGAAGGTGGTGTCTCCGCTGGAAACAGCCAGAGGAACTTGTGGGGAAGTGTCTGAGGGCAGCAGGAAGAACCTGAACAGGCCATCTCTGGCAGAAGGAAAAGACCCTGTGGTCAGAATTCCAGAGGGTGGTGGGACCCTCGGTAGGCCTCTCAACCTCTGCAAGCCTCTCTTTGGTAAGCACGTGGCCTGCCCGCGGGGCCTGTGTTAAGTGCCCAGGCCCTGTGTGAAGCTTCCTGGAATCCAGGCTCTGCAAGCCCAGGAGCACTTCTGTGTCACCAGCAAAATGGAGCTGGTAACACAAAAATTCTCCCGACCCGCCAGGAGAATCACCCCTGCCCTCCAAGCTCACTGACACTGTGGGCTCCACTGGAAACACACCTGCCACCCTCCCCCAACCTGCCCCTGCTGGTGTCTTCAGGCTCTTAGATGACGTGGCTCCACCCCTGTCACCCTAGTCCTCTTCTGCATACCCCTAATCATACTGTAATGACACGATTAGTTATCTGTTGTCCCAACGAGACGACAGGGGCCGAGTCCTCTGGAAGCACAGACCAACCATGCAGGCTCTGGAGGCAGACAGCGGGGGCTCTTCTCCCTGAGCCCCTCTCTCCCACTACCACTCATGGGACATCAGGAAAGTAGCTCTGTCTTAAACCTCAGTTTCCTCTTCCCAAAATGGAGTCGGGGACCCTGTAGATAGGGTTATTGAAATGAATGCATTAGGTAATTCACATTCAAAACACACCCACAATAGGTGGCAAATACTGTGTTCAAAAAAAAGGCGGGCTACAACTTTGGTGGTGATAGGTGACATTGCTATTTGACAAATGAGTATCTCTATTCTTAGTGCCCAGGGCTGGTGAGGTTTGTGCATTCATTAACATTTGTGCCAAACCTGCAAGTAATGATCCTCCAACAGCCACAGGCACACAGAGGTCTGTTTCCAAACACTGCCTTCCACTGAGAGCAACCAGGCGCCCTGGGAAAATAACTGCAGCGAGAGCCGCGGGAGAGCCCGGGACACGTGCCTGTCAGAAAGCAAGAACAGACTCCCTGAGGTTGGGTCAGCGACGGCAGGACACGGGGGTGGGCTCGAAAAGGCTTCACTGGACAAATATGCTGTATTGGGGGAAGGGTTGGTGATCGTCCATAGTTGTCTTTAGGAACAGAAAGTTCTTCTTTAAAAGGAATGCCAGTTAATAACCACCCAGATAATAACAGGACTGGGGGAAATCACAAAGACCTACATAACTGAGCAGGTGATGATGCTAAATGCAGGGAGAGGGGAAAAAAGTCGATAGAAAAGCGGATAATCAGACCATCCCAGGGCACACCCCCGGTCCTCATTACATTCGGTTCCATTTACTGCAGAAATTGGGCAGAACCTCCTTTTACCACGTGACCACGCTCCACGTTACCAACGAAGGAACAAAGATGTGCACCAAGTGTACAACTGCAAGCACACAACGTGCGGTTGTCGACTGAATCCAGGATGCGGGCGTCAAAGGAGCTTCTTTGGAACAATCGAGGAAACCTGCCTGCAGACTGCCTATTAACCACATCGACCTCTTGGGCATGGAAACAGAACTGGGGTCAGGTTACGGCAAAGCCTGGGTTCTCAGGACACCGGTCGAAGTGACGACGACAGGCTCCGTAGCGGTTCTAGACCACGCAGAAAAAAGAGCCCCGCCCGGCACAGAGTTCGCGCATGCGCAGCGTCCTCTTATTTCGGAGACTTATTTGGCGGGGCTGGAGGGTCAGATTGGGCCCGCGAGGCGGAAATGCCTGTCGCGGGTTCCGGTGAGCGCGTCGACACCAGCGGCAGAATGGAGGAGGTGCCTCACGGTCAGCTCGCGGAGGGGGCGTGGGTGGTGGGGCTGAAGGGTCGCGAGCAGCTCTAACTGTAATCTTGTCTCCGCTCAGACTGTCCCGGGGCCGACAGTACCCAGGCGGGCCGGGGGGCCTCCTGTCAGGGATGTCCCAACCAGCGGCTGTGTGCTTCTGGAGCCGGCGCCGCTCCGGATCCGGGTGAGCGGGGCCAGGGCCTGAACGGGAAGTGAAAGGCGCAGGCCCGGAAGAGGCGGGGCTTTGGAGGGGTGGGGCGGTGCTAGGGGCGGGACCTGAGGCAGGAACGTCAGGCGCGGGGTAGGCCGTACTGTGTACGTATTGGGAGGGCGGGGCTTAGGATCTACGGAGCGAGGAGCGTCCTCGTGTGAGGGGCGGGCTCTAGGAATGAGGGCGGGGGAGAAGGGGCGGAGATGGGGAGGAGCCTGGGAGATCAGTGACCGGAAGGGGCGGAGTCCGAGGGCGGTGGAGCGTGGTAAAAACCAGGAGGGGTGGGGCCAGAGGCTTGAGTGGCAGTAGGGACCGCGGAGCCGATAGGGACTTAAATCCTCGCTGAACAGCCAGGCAGAATTTTCTTCCTTTGAAGACTGTCTCCCATTCATTCAGCAGAACTCTATGTAACCACCTCCTGGGCACACTGCTGTGTGCTGGGGGACAGCTGTGATGGTCGCCGCCCTAAGTGGAGCTTAGCTTAATGAGGGAGAGCAGCAGGAGAGCGAGCCATCACATCAGATCCCCAGGTGGGGAGGACTCTAGCACTACTTAGAGAGGCTGGGAAAAGAATCTTGAAGGAGTTCAGAGACACTGGGCGAATTCTGGGGTCCACTGCAAACACCTTGAGCAAAAGCCTCAGCCTCTCAGAGCGTCCTGAGCCTCGTCAAAAATGGAGAAACAGTGGTCTGGCAGTGTCACTTTAAGAATGTGAAACAAGAGGAAGCACTGAAAGCCCAGTAGGTGACAGTTGTCCATTACAGGAGCTCCTTATAGGCCCACTGCCTGTCAGGGTTTCTGGGCCCCAGCACTAGTGACATTTGGAGCCTGAGTGCTCTTTGTTTTGGGAAGCTGTTCTGTGCTGTAGGCATTTAGGAGTGCCCCTGGCTTCTACCCACTAGATGCCAGTCGCACTCCCTCCTTGTAACATCCAAAAATGTCTCCAGACATGGCCCAATGTCCCCTGGGAATTTCATCCAGGTTGTGAACCTTTGTGATCTGCAGTGAAGACTTGAGTCACCCCACCGGCATCGCGCTCCCTTTCTTGGGGGGGCAGACATGTAAACCAAGAAGACAATTTCAGGTGTGACAATAGCCTCATTTTCTCTGTAGCTCTTCCTACTACCATTGGTGAAGTGGAATCTCACACAGGATCTTTGAAATAGCCCCAAGGACTTAGTTCCCTCTAGCCCTTTGGAAGGGTGACACTCAGGACTGAGGCAGGGACTTTGTCACCTGAACTGCTTTTTTTCCCCTCTAGCCATAGAGGAAATCAAAGAAAAAATGAAGACCGTGAAACACAAGATCTTGATATTGTCTGGAAAAGGCGGCGTTGGGAAGAGCACTTTCAGCGCCCACCTTGCCCACGGCCTGGCGGAGGACGAAAACACACAGGTAGGACCTGGGAAAACCCGGACGGAGAAGGCTCCTTCTGTCTGAGGGCTCCTGATGGAGTCCTTAGACAAAGCGGGACTTGGCACCGTCCCTGCAGAAGGAAAGGGAACTGCCCAGTCGTTAGCTGAAGCATGGTGCTGGGTTCTGTGACCAAGAAAGGGAAAAGGGGTGGCAGGTGGACGTTTTGCTGTGTGCTGAGCATTTGTTCCGTTACGTCAGACCTCTTTTTCTTCCTTACTAACCTCTTTTGGGCATTCTTTAAGCCAAGAACCTGCAAACAGTAATCAGCTAAATCTAGACCATCTCCTGGGAGCTGAGGGTGGCGTTACGTTTTTAAATGGTTCCTTTTAAACCATGACTAAGTACCTCCACGTGCTCCCTGGTTGCCCATAAAGCATAAAATGTTTTCTTCTTGGCCCTTCAGAAGACATTTGCTGACCCTCGTCCTAGGTCATTCATTTCTTCTTGAGTAGTGTGCTCGCATGAGCTTGAAAGCCCAGATCACCCAGGCTGCTGTCCGTGTGTCCACTCTACTGAAGTGTCGTGGGTGGCCAGCCCCACATCCGAGCTCTGTCCACACCTCTGCTGTGCCTCCGGCGGGTTACCAGGCTCTCCCTGCCTCTGTTTTCTCATCCATCAAGTGGGACCTGGAGGACTGAGCGGGCTGGGGCGGGTGAAGCGCTAGCACAGGGCCAGCAGCAGGCTGTCGGGACTCTCCACCATCAGCCGTCCCTGCACACCATGACTGGCGTGTGGAGCACGGTGGCACGTTCTGCTTCAGCTGTGCTGCAGCCCACCTCACGCACAGTGCAGAGGGCAAAATGTCCTTGTGGATTTCATTGTTGGAAGGCAGCAGTCTCTGGCCACCTGAGGGTCAGATTTGCCCCGTGGGGTGGTCAGGAAATCTGCTTTCTCAGATCAGCCCTATTATCCAGAGTAATCCTGGCTTTCAGAAGCTTTTAGGAATATTCTTAAACAGCCTCCCGAGACGCACTTTGCCCTGGCCCAGTAGTCAGCCAGTCATGTCACCCCTCCCACCTGGTTCTGCTGAAGTGTTTGTGGCGCGCACACCTAGACTCTGCAGTGCTCCGGGGGAAACGCCACCCGGTGTGGAAAGCCCTGGGTCGCGGGTTTCTTTATGCACAGGTGGTTTAAAAGAAGCACGTGGAAAGTGCCGTTCCTGCACAGACCCACCCCACAGCGCCGTCTGCAGAGTGGGCACAGTGTTGGCTCGTGGCACACGCTGGAGAGGCCTTGTTGAATGTGGATGGGAGCATAGACTTCTCCCGGCCCTCAGTCCTTCCGTCCACCAGGAGGGTGGCACACCCTGTCCCTCGTCACCCGCCACCTGGTAGGAGCTCAGCACTCACTGTGCAAGGCCATCCTGTTGTCTCACCTGGAAAGGGGCTGGCATCAGGAGATAGCAGTGGGGGAGACACCCTGACCAGGCGCAGCAGCCCAGGGCGTGTGTGAGTCTCGGAGGCAGGAGGAGTAGGGGCTCAGCTGGCCTCACACAGAGGACCTCATCCAGAAGGTGGGTTGTGTCATTGAGGTCAGTGCTGGGTGCTTGGGGCCTGGAGTATCTGCCCACCGCCCCAAGCCGCGTAGGCTCAGAGCCCGCGGGGCCTAGTGGCCCTGGGCACTCATTTCACAGTGCAGAGGTTCAGGCAGAGGAGCAGCAGCAGTGTGAGGGGACACTGCCCTGCCAGGCCCAGAGTTTGCCCTTCTCAGGGGGAGTTCAGGGAACTGGGCAAAGGGAAGCCTTGGATCCCTGCAGCCCCGCGGAACTGCAGCCTGACCCTCCACTCCCGAGGCTGGCCGCGGGGTCCTGGCGAGGACCAGTGCAGGCATCTTCCCTTACCAGGGCTCCCAGGCTGATCTAAGAGAACACCGTGGTTACTGGACAGCGACATCTTCCACTACTCACCTGGGGGGCTTCACCTGGGATCTGGGCACAGGAACTTGTCCACAGCCTTCGGGTGCCCACGAGGTGACTTGCATCCACGCATTGTTTTACTCCGTCCCCACCCTTGGTTGTGGGGGAAACCGATCAAGTTGCTCCTGGGGGAATGGCATGGAGCTGGGTTGTCCAGTGGACCCCAGGCACCAGGTGAAGGGGCAGAGGGAGAGCAGCCCGGCTCCTGCAGCGAGCCCATTGCACTGTCGGGCTGGCCCAGCAGGGGGCGCAGGAGGCCTGGCGAGCTCCAGGTGGAGCTTCCCGGCTGGGTTGCCCTGGTGGCACGGGTTGGGTTTGTTGAGAGAATGAAGGAGGGGAGCCACAGAGTCACCCAGAGATGCCGCACTCTGGATCCGAGACACTCGGCCTTCAAGATGAATCTCAGCCCTGCCTTATTTATAGACAGGGGAGACGGTGTTGGGGGTGGAGGGTGTCATCAGAGACTGCCGCTGAGTCACCTGCAGAGCTTTTCTAGTGTCTTTCTTACAGTAGATCTCTTTTTTGAAATCTTGTTAACCGTCAGGTCACCAGGGCAAGTGTCTTGGTCAGAGGTCAGCTGGAAGCTTTGCACTGGCCCTCCTTTCCAGATCCCTGGGTTAAGGGAAAGAACTGAGGACTTTGACTATGTCCCCGCTGTATTCCTGGCACACTGAACAAGTCACTGGGCCTCTCTGAACCTTACTTTTGTCTTCTGTAAGGCAGAGGTAATGTTACCCACGTCCTAGGGCTGAATAAGCAGTGACTGAACCTGGTTCTCCAACGGACCTGCTGCCCTGTCCAGAAGATCAGCCCAAAGGAAGTTGGCCAGGCTGAGGTGGGGCGGTGGGGACAGCCTTGGTGAACTTTGTACCGGGAGTTTTGAACTCTGCCTTGGTGGCCTGGAAGGTCAGCCTTACACTCTCCCTCGCGGGAGTCTGCCTGCTCCAAGTCTGACCCCGACCCTCTCTATCTGCTGTCCCCTGCCCCAGGCCTGGAGGGGTGTGCTCCCAGGTGGTGCCCACTGCTCTCTTGTTCCCCAGGTTGCTCTTCTGGACATCGATATCTGTGGGCCGTCGATTCCCAAGATAATGGGCCTGGAAGGAGAACAGGTAACACTGCATTTTGCAGCTGTGCAGCCCAGACAGTCGGCCCCCAAGGCGTAAGACGCAGCAAACTCAGGTCGGTGTGCCGTCGTCCACTGGCCTGCTTACCAGAAGCGTGGACTTAGGGGTGGGATCGTCTCTGGAGCCCACCCCGCTGCTCAAGAAGCGCAGCTTAGAGAGAAGGGAAGCAGCCCGCACAGGGCAGACGGGAGGGGCAGGAGCTCCCCACCCGGACGCCAGGCCAGCTCGCCTGTCTGCCCGGGAAGCCAGGGAGTCTTCCTCCCTTGTGGTCTGCCCTGGGAACTGAGGCAGGGGAGTGACACGGTGGGGCAGGGCCATGTCTCTGCAGGGGCCAGCCCTCCCTGGAGGACGCCCCCAGGGCGGTGCACGGAAGTGGGGCTCGGGGGCTGGGCACTGTGCCCGGAGTCCGTGGTGAAGGAGGCTGGTAAAGCCTCGTTGGGGGGCAGATGGCAGAGGCAGAGCAAGAGGCTGTCCTGAGAGGGTCGGGCCAGGTGCTCAGTGAGGCTGGCCTTGAGCAGCCAACCAGTGGGCGGGAGCTGAGAAGAGCGCCCTGGGCCAATGGAGCCAGTGTCCTCCATGTCCCTGGGGCTGGAGTGTCACCTGAGGCCGCAGGCTTGCGTCTGGGGCTGGGGGAGGGAGGCAGAGGCTGCCTGTGGTTGAGAAGCAGCAGGATCCGAAGGCCCTCCACCAGTGGCCTCGGAGCCAGTGTGCAGGCCACACCCGGGCAGGAGCGGCCGCTGCCCGAGCTCACCGGGGGTTTAGAGACCAGAAGTTCAACCAGGCGCAGCAGCCGCGCCGTGTCCCCGCTACCCTGAAGGCAGAATTCAGGAGGAGCCCTGACCCCGGGATTCAGGGCCAGCCTGGGCAACAGGGCGAGAGGCCATCTCAATAAAAAGAAAGAAGTGGAGAATTTTAAACGATGAGGTCGACGTACGGTCGTAGGTGACTGTTTCTTCTCTCTTGGTCACGCTTATCCCTCTTTTAAGACCAACAACTTAGCAAATGGCTGTAGCTAGTAGTAAACCGGGTTTTAAGTAGGACTTCAGCCAGTCGCACAGGAGCACTTACTGTATGATTCTGTTTGTGAGAAAAAAACGGAGCAGATGAATCTGCCCACAGGAAGTAGACGAGGGGTCTCACAGGCTGGGGACATCATGGGGACTGTGAGTGACAGTTAAGGAGTGCAAGTTTCTTTGAGTCTTGCAAGTGTCCTAAATGGCACTGTGGCTAGTCATACCGCTCTACAGATATTCAGAAAGCCACCGGCTGTGCACGCTCAGTGGTGAATTGTGTGTGCATCACATCTCAGTAAAGCCGTTCAGTCAAGGAAAACAGACCTTGCATCTGAGCTCTGGCCCTGGGAGCAGCGGGAGCAGCGGGCTGGGTACAAACCTCAAGCCCCTGACAGGACAGGTTTGGAACCAACCGACCGCAGCCCCCTTACCGCTGGGCTGTGCGGAAGCAGCCTGCTGCTCCACGGTCAGCTGCATTTCCCACCCTTCCCCATCTCGCTCTTTAAAAAAAGTTCAGACGCAAAGTTAAATTTGAACCCGAGTAATTTTGGTTCTACCTAAGACTGAGGCAGTTTCAAAACAACCAGCTCAGAGCAGAGGGCGTTGACTGGCTGCACCTCCACCCCGCCCCGCCCGGCTGTGCACCCCATCACGAAATTAGTGCCGCTCCTCACGGCGGTGGCTTGTGTGTCGGGAGACTGTCTTTCCGTGGTTTGTCTGAGTGCGCAGTGTGACCAGCGTACGTGACTTCCCACACTCACCGCCCCGTGTTCACACAGGTCCACCAGAGCGGCTCGGGCTGGTCTCCCGTGGTGAGTTTCCCTTGTCTCCCTGGGAAGGTGCTGCGCAGGGCAGGTGTGCACGTGGACGGGCAGTGGGTTGGCCACCATTTTCTCAGCCACCTATCTGTCACGGATGCCTCCAGAGGCGCTCTCCCAGGCACGGGAGGGGCGCGGAGACCGGGAGGGGCAGACCTGTCTGTACAGGGTGGGTAAAGGTGTCCTCTGCGGACCTCATTCCACGTGCCATGGCCCAGAGTGCTAAGGTGACGGGGTGACCCTGGCCGTGTTCCAGCAACACTTTATTCTCAGACACAGATGGTGGGCTGCGTCTGGCCCCAGGGGCCACCGTGGCCGACCCTGATCAGGACAGCTGAGGTGACCACAGGTGTTTGCTTGAGCTCGATTGACGGTCCCCCAGCCAGGCCACACGGTGCCCTCTCAGGTCCCCTTGGTGTGTCCACCTTGTATGAAAGCGTGGTTTTAGAACGCAGAGCGAATGTGCTCCTAGGGCAGGGCTGCCTCTCGCCCAGGCCCAGACGGGACCCAGGGAGGTGGCCAGCCTGTGGCCTTGGTAAAGCGTGTCTTGCCCTCGTCCCCCCCTGCAGTATGTGGACGACAACCTGGGGGTGATGTCGGTGGGCTTCCTGCTCAGCAGCCCTGACGACGCCGTCATCTGGAGGGGACCAAAGAAAAACGGTTTGCACCCCGCTGTCCCTGTCCTCGCGTCCTTGGCCTCACGTCCCACCCTGTGCAGAGCAGCAGTCACCTGCGGGGCCTTGGAGGGGTTGGCTTGTGCCTGGGGCTGGGAGGAGCCCAGGGCCCCTGGTGCCAGGAGGTGCTCGCCCGAGCTGCCTCCGCCCGAGCTGCCTCCGCCCGCGCGCCCCTGTCAGCTCTGGTGCCTGGCGTGTTCCCTGGTTGGAGAGAGCAGGAAACGCCAGCTTCCGTTATGTCACTTTTAATAGCTGGTGTGAGTTTTTCTCTCCTCCATCTAGAATGTCCTGGATCCTTTTTTTAGGGTGCTGGGGGTTGAACCCGGGCCTTGTGCAGTCGAGGCGAGGGCTGAGCTTCACCCAGCCTAACTTTGTTGTGGTTTCGTCGTGGTTTGTTTGTGTCAGAGAGAGAGGTGTGTGAGGGGGAGTCCCACCAGGTTGATCGGTCCCGAGAAAGGAGGTTGTGGCACAACACTGCGATCAAGGGCGGGCACCTCGGCGGGCACTGGCCAGATGAGTTCCTCGGGGCAGGGCGGACAGGGTTCTAGCTGTGCCCCGGCCTCTACCCATGGTGTAGACATGGCAACCAAACGTGTTTCCCGACCTCGGCACGTGCCCCCTGGGGACAGTGCCACCCCAGGTGGGAACTGGGCGTGGAGCTCACGCCAAGCTGAAGTGCAGACCCCAGCTGCTCTGCAGGGCCTTGCGGCCGGCAAGGAAGGGAGGCCGAGCTTGGCTCCTTTGCAGGCATGATCAAGCAGTTCCTCCGTGACGTGGACTGGGGAGACGTGGACTACCTCTTGGTGGACACCCCGCCGGGGACCTCCGATGAGCACCTGTCTGTCGTCCAGTATCTGGCCGCCACGCACATCGACGGGGCTGTGATCGTCACCACTCCTCAGGTGAGCGGCTGCCAGTGGAGCCAGAGGGCGTTCCTCCTGCCCGTGGTCCTCGGCCGGCCCCACCTGGCAGGACCTGCAGAAGCCTCACGCTCAGATGCCTGGGGCTGCGGGTCCCAGCGGCTGAGCTGAGCTCGCAGGAGCCCTGGGTTCATCCCAGCACCCAGAAAAGCAGTGACAGAGGCAGCTGAGCCCACTGCGAGGATCATCCCAGGAGAGCAGCAGCCAGCAGGTGCCAGCCCTTCCCGAAATCACAGGGCGGCAGCACGTTCAGACCAGGGGCACCTTCCCCAGTCCCCCACCCAGCACTGCTGTGGGAATCGGCTGTTTAGGTGGTACTCTTGACAAAGGAACAGGTGTGTCTATAGGACACTGAGCCACAGAGGTACGAGGAGATGGGGAGCTGGGGAACAGAAGCCACGGAGCGGCCATTGTAGACAGGGAGGCGTGGAGAGCTCGTGGGTGGCCCTAGAATGATGATGGATGGGACACACAAGGAGGGGCTGGATGATGTTTGTGCACAATGAAGTGGCACCAGGACGAGCAGTGTCTGAGGTGACCCAGGAGGCCACAGTCTGCCTGTCCTTGTTGCCCATGAAGTTGTCCATGGTGGTGGGGACAGCACACTACCCCAGACCCCAGCCCCAGCTGGGCCACAGGGCTGGGATTGCCATGGTGGAGGGAAGGTGGCCAGGTGGAACGAGGAGGGGGGCACAGAGGAGGGGGGCACGCAGGAGAGGGACACGGAGGAGAGGGGCACGGAGGAGGGGCGTGGAGGAGAGGGGCGTGGAGGAGGGGGCACGGGGGAGAGGGGCGTGGAGGAGAGGGACACGGAGGAGAGGGACACGGAGGAGAGGGGCACGGGGGAGGGGCCATGGAGGAGAGGGGTGTGGAGGAGGGGGCACGGGGGAGAGGGACGCGGAGGAGAGAGGCACGGGGGAGGGGCCATGGAGGAGAGGGCCGTGGAGGAGGGGCCATGGAGGAGGGGGCGTGGAGGAGAGGGGCACGGAGGAGGGGGCGTAGAGGAGAGGGGGCGCAGAGGAGGAGGGCACGGAGGGGGGGGCACGAGGAGAGGGGCGTGGCCAGTCCCGCAGAGCCCCACCCGCAGGGGCAGGCTTCCAGCCTGACGGCCCAGGGCGCTGGCCCCTGCCTGGGAAGTCGTCATCGTCGTCGTCCCCCGCACCCCCTCGGCGTGCTCCATCGCTCCTTTGCTTCCTGGCCTTTGGTCTACCCTCTTGGGGCTTCTGGAAAGTTGGGGCAGCTGGAACAGGACTTGTCAATAACGGGCACCCAAGAGGCCTGGGTCCCTGCGCGCTGATGGACCCCTGTGGGCCTGACCTTGACAGGAGGTGTCGCTCCAGGACGTGCGGAAGGAGATCAACTTCTGCCACAAGGTGAAGCTGCCGGTGGTCGGGGTGGTGGAGAACATGAGCGGCTTCGTCTGCCCCAGGTGCAAGGTGAGGGGTGCAAGGTGAGGGGCGGGCCGCGCCGTGGCTCCTGGAGGCTGGTTTGCTGCTGCCGTTGTTTTGGGAAGTGGGCCTGGATTAAGAGCCTCTGGTGAAGGGGACGACTTTTTGGTGGCGGGCGTTCTGCATGCAGCGAGCTCTTTTAAATGTCCAGCGGTTTCAGAGCGTGTCTCTGCAGACACCGAAGCCGAACCCTGCTCCCCCTCTGCTTCTCCTCACAGAAGGAATCTCAGATATTCCCCCCCACGACGGGCGGCGCAGAAGCCATGTGCCAGGACCTCAAGGTCCCCCTCCTCGGCAAAGTGCCTCTGGACCCGCACATAGGTGGGTGCTCGGAGCGGCCTGCCTCCCGCGCCGTCACGGAGTGGGCCTTCACTGCCACTCACCCTGGTGGTGCCACGCAGGCCAGCACAGGAAGGGACCCTGGAGTCGGCCAGACCCCGCGGAGCTCCTGCCCCAGCCACCTTGAGGCCAGTCAGGGAGAAGCAGTGACACCCCGTGAGGGAGGGTGGAGCGGTCACTCAGAAAGGCGTGGCAGGGGACTGAAGAGGCATCAGGCAGAGGGGACAGGAGGAGTGGGGCTGCCGGGGGAGGGGAGCCCTTCAGGGAGGAAATCGCAGCCACCTGCCTCCGCGGAAGCCCCACAGGGACCCCTTTGTCCCCACTCCTGGCAGCCCGCCACTCCCCATGAGCAGTTGGCATTGACCTGCAGTGTGGGGACCATGGTCCACAAGTGTCTGACACGTGGTCCCCGAGGCCTGGGAGACACGCGGGTGACCGAGCCCCGTCGCCACCCTGGGCTGCTGTGGCTTGCTGAGGGGTTGGGCAGGCCCTGCTCCTGACCCCGTTAACTGAGCCTGTGGTGGGACTCGCTGATGGGGTCAGGTGGTCTCGTCCAGCAGAGGCACCTGGGGCTGAGGGCGGAAGCAAGGGTGGGCGCCTGTGGGCAGAGGGCTCTGCACCAGGCCTCACACTCGGCCCCGTCGGGCAGGAGAAGCTGTGGTGCTGGAGCGTGCGCCCTGCGTGCCAGGGCGGGCGCACGGGGAGGTGGCCCACCTCAGGGAGGTCAGGGCCGGCCTGGCTCAGGGCGTTGGCGCGGAAAAGAAGGGGCAGAGTTGAGGGGGAAGGAGGAAGGCACCAGGGCCCCTGATGCCCGCTCAGCCTGCTGGAGGAGGTGCTGTGGTCAGGGCAGCGAAGCAGTAGCTGTGCTGCGGGGCCCAGGACCAGCGCTGTGCGCAGGGGCGGTGGCCGGGGGTCCGAGTGGCCCGTGGGCCTTCCGTGTACCAGCAGCTGGGAGGGAGGGCTGGGAGGGCTGGGGTCATGCCCTTCAGTACTGAGGTTGCAGGGATGAGTGAGGTGGCCCGGAGGAGGCCCAGGAGGACAGCTTGGGGACCTTCCTTGAGGAAAGGGACGCAGGGACTGCTGTGAGGGTGGGAACCCCCCAGGCCCAGAAATCCCCCTGGGCCATGGGACGCGCACCTCCCAGCAGTGGCCACCGACAGGGTGGTGCTCAGTGACAGGGACCTCCCTTCGGAGCCCAGAGCCAGGGCCAGAACAGGCACAAGTGACACGGAGCTCATGTCACGTCCCACCAACCTGTGCCCTGCCCTCCCAGGTCCTGGGCCTGGTGGCCCAGGGACTGATCAGGGGACGCCTGTGCCGTGAGGAGGGGGTGGGTGTCAGCCCCTGCAGGTGCCCTGTGGCTCCAGGGAACACGGCTCAGCCACCAGCACGTCCTCGAGCCCGTCCTCCTCGGGGTCAGGTCTCCCCTGGGTCATTTGTGGCCCTCCGGATACCCGGGTGTGGCCTGCAGGGGCCTGGATCCCGGAGCCACACAGCTGGCCAGGACCAGCCGTTGCTTCCCTGAGGTGACCTTGAAGATGAAGTTAGGGGTGGGAGGCAGCAGGCCCGGGCGTGCGTGGGACACGCCCACTGCACTGTGAGTGTGAGAGGCTGCGTGTGCACGGCCACACGGTGTTTCTGGAAGGGTGCCAAGAATACTAGGCCCTTTTTGGATTTGCTTCTCACTGTATTTTCCCTCTGTCTGTACTTTTTTCTTGTAACAATACACACTCCTTGCCTTTTTATTCAAAGAACCAGCTGATCTCTTACGATGCAGCCACCCAGGCCCTCCCAGGCCCACCAGGCCCACTAGGTCCTCCCCAGGCCCTCCGAGGCCCACCAGGCCCATCCAGGCCGTCCCAGGCCCACCCAGGCCGTCCCCAGGCCCTCCGAGGCCCCCCAGGCCCACCAGGCCGTCCCTAGGCCGTCCCAGGCCCTCCGAGGCCCACCAGACCATCTCAGGCCCATCCAGGTCCACCAGGCCCAACAGGTCCTCCCAGGCCCACCAGGCTCCCCTGGCCCTCCCAGGCCCACCCAGGCCCACCAGACCCTCTCAGGCCCACCAGACTCCCCTGGCCCTCCCAGGCCCTCCCAGACCCTCTCAGGCCCACCAGACCCTCCCAGGCCCACCAGACCCTCTCGGGCCCACCAGGCTCCCCTGGCCTACCCAGGCCCACCAGGCCCTCTCAGGCCCACTAGGCCCTGCCTGGGCCCTGGAGCCTGCCTTTCCCGTGCATCACCTCTCGATTTAGAGCAGAGTGGAAATGTTGGCCAGGGCCTCTGAGGGCACAGGGGACACAGCTGCGGTCCCAGGTCCCCACGTTGCTGGCAGCTCCAGACCACCACATCACCACGGCACAGAAAGACCCGGGGCCTTCCTGAGCCATGTCCTTCCTGGCCCTCATTGTCTCTCTCCTCTTTTAGGTAAGAGCTGTGACAAAGGCCAGTCCTTTTTTATTGAAGCTCCAGATTCACCAGCCACCCTAGCCTACAGGAGCATAATTCAGAGTAAGTGTGTGTCTGTCACCGCAGACGCCTGCTGACCGGGAGCTGCGGGAGGCAATGGGCGGGAGGACGGAGTACTCGCCTGCAGCACGGGTGGCGGGGAGCGGGACGACAGAGTGGCCCTGGACGCTGTGAGAAAGCTGCCCGGGTGTCCGTGTGGAGAACCAGTTCATAGCCTAACAGACACAGGGAGGTGAGATCCATGGCAGAGGAAGTGCGTTTCAGGAAGACAATAAGAAACTGACTTAAAACAAGCCCAAAGCCAGACGCAGTGGCGCAGCCGGTGCTCCCAGCGGCTCGGGCGGCTGAGGCAGGCGGATCGCAGGTTCAAGGCCAGCCTCAGCAAAGGGAGGGGCTGAGCAACTCAGTGGGACTCTTCCCTAAATAACATACAAAATAGGGCTGGGGTGTGGCTCAGTGACCGAGGCCGAGTTCAATGCCCAGTACCAGAAAAACCACCAACCCCGGGGTGCAGAGCAAAGCCACCGGCAGGCCAGACGTCACCTACGGGCAGTCTTGGTGGCCTTGGGTTTAAGGTAGCAGTCCCAGAAGTTAGAGTTCCCACCTCTCAGCTGAGGCCGGGTCTTACTTGTCCCCTCATGCAGTCCCCAGGGGCCAGCTGCAGAATGGGCCCACATAAGGCCTCCAGCCCCTGGTTACAACCGCAGTGGGCAGTGGGAGGCACTGGGGTCACATTCTAGGATTCAGGGCATCTTAGGGACAGGCTTTTGCAGGGAATCAGCCGCCAGGGTTCTGCTGTGGCGTGGCGGCTCCCTGCAGGGCTGGTCAGGTTAGCGCTCTGCCCATTCGCTGTTTTCCAGAAATCCAGGAGTTCTGTAGTCCCCATCAATCAAAAGTGGAGAGCCCCAGCAGTTCCTGAAGCAGGGGACAGAGCCGGGGACCGGGCAGCCCCCAGCTGCAGAACCTACGGGCAGCACTCGGGTCAGGTGGGGTTGCAGGCAAAGGGACCAGACGCTGGCGCCACAGGAAGTCACGTCCTGAAGACACTGTGATCAGCTGTCTGCCACCTTCCTCAGAACACAGCCAAGGGCATTCCTTACACACGTGCCATTTAAAATAAAAGTGTCTCCTTGAACCTGTCCCACGAGGCCTGCTTCTGGACACCCAGGGCTGGGGGCCGGGACGTGCTCTTCGGGAGCCCCCTTGACCACGGACCCCGTCTAAGCCATCTCTGCCTCTGGTGACAGGTACGCCTGGAGGGAACCAAGGGTGAGCGTGGCCCACTGCAGAGCAGTGGCACCTCTGGCCACATTGCCCAGCAGTGGACGGCGTCAGAGCCACCTGAGCGTCCTCTGGGCTGGGCACACGTGCTGCGGCTGGGAGCCCTTGGAGGTCCCTGGAAGAGCCCCCCCAGGCACGCGGTCTGGCACCGTTAGCAAGTGGGCAGCATGTCCAGTGACCTCCAGGGTCACCTACAAACGACTCAGGGTTTTAGAGAGATGTGAACTCCAGATGTTTCCAGTGACTTGAGGATGAGACACACAGGAACGGAGACCCATGAGGGAAGAGCAGATCCCGTTTTCCAGAGGGCGGGCAAGTCCCCTGTTCTTTCCGCCTGCTCTCCTCCGCCCTCTCCTCCCTCTCCTCCCTGCCCACAAGGGGCGGCTGGGGGGGCTGGATTTGCATCTGTTCTGTGTGACGGAGGTGAGACCCTCCAAAGAGTGACGGCTGCAGGGCCCAGGGCATCTGGCTCGCGCCTGGCTGAGCCCCCAGCCACTTCAGGGCATCGGCAGGAGCCACCCAGACCACAGGCTCAGCGGGGCAGGGGCTGCCCCTCCCGCCAGCTCCTGGGCCACCAGCCAGATCCGTTTCTCACCGAGTGCTGGTGAGTCTCGAGCCCTAAGGCCAGGCTTCTGAACGTCACCGGGGGGAGAGTCAGCTCGGCTCTCCGTCCTGCCCGGGAAGCCTGCCGACTGCCCGCCGAGGTCCTGGCACACAGCACGGCGTTCGGGTTAGGATGGTCCAAGCCGTTTCAGCTTGAGTCCCATCAGATTTAAAAGATCTATTTCTCACTTCTCACTTTAAAAATGTGAGAAATCTCCCTGATTCTGTCCTTCCTTCTGGAGGTTCTAGAAGTCACTCTTCAGTGACTGAATGACGGTGTGGGATAGGTTCCGTAAGACCACACCTAGAGTTGGCCCTCGAGCCTCAGAGCCAGAGGCAGAGCGGAGTGGTGGGTGCCGGTTGGGGGGAGGGGACCTGGTTAGTGTTTCACGGGTACAGAGTTCAGTCGGGGCGATGGGACAGGGACAGTGTGATGGTCACACAGCATTGTGCACGCACTTAATGCCAAGAACTGTGCACTTGAAAATAGTTCACGTGCCCCATTTTGTGTGTTTTGCCCCAATAGAAAGTGCCAGCAGCAGCCGGCGGTCAGGTGACCCGCACAGGCCGCTTCCCGCAGGTCAGGAAGGGGGGTCCTGGGCACGAGCTCAGTGACTCACCGTCTGGAACACGGTCTGGGACAGGAGACTGGCCGTGACTCTGCTGATGTCACTCTCGCCTCCCATCTTGCAGAGGATGTAGCCGTAGAGGTTGGCGGCTTGGAGCGAGATCCCGGCGATCACGAGGGCCTGGCTCGGCAGGGGAGAGGGGGCTGTGAGGGCCGAGAGGACTGTGCCTGTGCCACCCAGCCTGGCCCGACCCCGGGAAAGGACCCTGCCAGCGGTGACCAACAGCTCTGCCGGACACCGCCCAGCCCTCACCCGAGGGTCGTGCCATTGCCGTCCCATTTCACAGCAGGGAGCAGAAGCACAGAGCGACCAAAGCCGCCCGGAGGCCACGTGTTCAACTCCACGGGGGCAGGCGCTACATCTGGATGTGTCACCAGATGGACTAGACCACGGCAGTGGACACGCACCTCCAGAATGGAACTCCGACCTCGCAGGCCTATCGCTACCTAGAGGGCCCCCGCCCAGGCAGGGTGTCGTGTGTGGGTTTGGTTTTTAACAGACTCCTCCCTCGGCCGGACACGATGCTGCACTCCTGCACCCAGTCACCAGGGCCCAGGCAGGAGGAGGCGAGTGCAAGGCCAGCCTGGGCGGCCTAGCGAGACCGGAGCTGTGGCTCGGGTGGAGCAGGCCCAGGCTCCGTCCCTAGCACCGGGGGAGCTTTCCTGAGCCTGAGGACTGGGGATGAAGCTCGGCCTGCACAGGGCTCTGTTCCACTCCTAGCACTGCAAGACGTACATCTAATAAGAACAAAGCTTCTTTGTCACCCCATTACCCATGGGAGCCAAGTGACCATCACTGAAGAATGGATAAAGAGAAGCGTCTACCGCACTGTGGAATACTGTTGAGCCACAAAAAGGAATGACCTGTGGAAGCCACTACAGCTTGGGCAGACCTGGGAAAGGTGCTAGGCCACAAGCCACCACAGACACCACGTATTATGTGAAATGCCCCAGAATGGGCAGGTGCCCGGGGCTGGGGGAAAGGGACATAGGCTAAAGGTACAGAGTGTTTGGGGAGGAAGAAGATGTCCTGAAATGAAGGTGGCGATGCTTGTACAGCTCCAAGCTATTGAACTCCAACCTTCCCGTGGCCAAAATGTGCCGGGCGTGACTGTCTCAATAGTGCCACCTCCACCTATCAACCAATGACAACAGTGACAAAACCGCGCTCCCACGGCCGGGCTCTGGAGAGCCAGGAGGCCCCGGTGTCCTTTACCAGCCACTTGAGCTTCAGGGAGAACAAGGTGCTGAAGAAAAACAGGATCCAGATCACGGGGCAGATGATGAGGCCGAGCCAGAAGATGCGCGCCTCGGCCTCCGTGGCTGCCGTGCTGCTCGGAGAGGCCTGGGGGGCGAGGAGTGCAGCTTTCAAACCTGGCAGGAGGTGGGCCAAGGCCCCCTGTGGCTCTGGCCACGCCCTCATGTCGCCAGAACTGCTGCCCCCAACCCCGGGGCACCAGGGAGCGCCCCCCCCCCCAGCACACCTTTCTGGCCTCGAAGATCCAGTGGCTCCTCCCGTCCTCGTCGATCTGGTTCCACCAACGGAGGCCCACCATGAGCCTCCCCGTCACGTTCTAGGAGGACGGCAAGAGGACCATCAGCGGGCCGCGGCCAGTACAGCCAAAGTCCCAGTCCACGTCCAGCTTGTGCTGGGGACAGGACGAACACGGCAGCTGACGCTGGTGGCTTTCCAAATGGGCGTCCAAGGTCTCTGATCTCTAAGCGTTCTCTAAAAAGTGACAGACCCCCTGACTGCTACGTACAGGTGACGCACTCGTGTTGTAGAAGCTTGGAATGTACTACGAGAATGCCACGTGAGAACCTCACCCGAGTCCAAAGCCTCGCGGGCGTCACCTCATCGTGGAGCCATTCACAGAACTCTAAAAGCCCTTTTTCCTCTAATTAATTGTGACAGGCCTCAGAACTCCGCGGCTTAAACCCGAGCACCCGGGTCCCGTGTGCATAGGGGACGTCACCTCGGGGAGCAGAGCGCACACATCTGGAGAGACAGCGTCACTGGCGAGGGGCCTCACCTTCACGGACCAGAAGTCGAAGGACAGGAGGAGCAGCACGGTGACGAAGCAGCCCACGAAGCTCTTGCTGAACCAGTCACAGCACACGTAGGTGACGATGGCACTCACTCGGAAAAACAGGTGGAAGAAGGTGGCCAGGGGGTGCCTAGGAGACAAGGGAGGCCGCATCCGAGTCGGCCACGCCAGGCCGCGGAGTGGCAGCGCCTGGGCAATGTCCTCCCGCCGCCGCCTCCTCAGCCCCCAGCGCGTCACTGTGGCCCTGGCTGCGTGTTTCTCTCCCTCCAAGAGCCCAGTACTTTCCCTAATGGCCTCCAGGTATCACTGGCCCTGTCCCACACAAGGTCGCCTTGGAAGTGAAACGTGACTGAGACCATTGCCGCCCACCTCGCAGCCACAGGACCAGTTCCCTAAAGATGAAGGTCAGGTTATTCCACCAGGAACCCAGCGAACACGCGGCCCGCAGCGGAGGCCCCAGGTCCCGGGGGACGCCTGTTCCTGGAGAGCAGAACCGGTCACCACAGGATGGCCGCTGCGACAGTTTGCCCAGCGAGAGTGGCCTGAGCGGCGCTGGAAGGCGGACACTCACCTGGGGCAGGTGGCTCTTGTGCCTCGACGCCAACCCACCCAGAGGCAGAGAGCTGGGAAGCGATGGCCCACGCCGCACCTGCACCAGCACCCGCGCTGCACCCGCACGGCACCCACACCCCTGCCCACGCCTACACCAGCACCCACACCCACACCAGCACCCGCATGGGCACCCCCACCCCTGCCCACGCCCACACCCGTGCCCACACCCACACCAGCACGGCACCCACACCCCTGCCCACGCCCACACCAGCACCCAAACCCACACCAGCACCCGCACGGGCACCCCCACCCCTGCCCATGCCCCCACCCG